AGGCTGGTCTTGAACCTGTGGGCTCAGGCAATCCTCTCACCTCAGCCTCCCAAAGTACTGGGATTTATAGGCGTGAGCCTACCGTGCCTGGCCATTTGTGTTGGTTTAAGAACTAAGTCTATGGTCTTTAGTTACAGCAGCCACGGAGAACAAAGACACTCAAGGCAGGTGCTTGAGGCAGATACGGTGGGGGCTCCACCCTCACCCTCACCACCCCACTTCTGACTTGCAGACACCCAACTGCCAGCGTCCACAACTCTGCCTGGGGACTTTCTCTGGACCCAGCAGGCTGCTCTGACCACCTGGGAACTGGTGAGAAGTGCTGGGAAATTAGCATCTCTGCAGGCAACCTTCAAACAACTGCCTTGGAGTATTAATACCCTAGCTCCCTCACCCCTCTGGCTGGCCATGTCCTGGGATGCCTCTGAGACCCCCAGTGGAATTGAGCACACACCAGCAGTGGTCACTTGCTTGATAATGCAGTCAAGGGTTGAATTGTGTCCCCCCAAAAAGACAGATTGCAGTGATGCATCTACAAGCCAAGAACAGCTGGAAACTACTAGAAGGTGAGGAGAGGCAAGGAAGGGTTCTCGCCTACAGTTTTCCAGGGGAGTATGACTGCTGACACCTTGATTTTGAATTTGACACTTGATTTTGGACTTGGACTTGAATTGGGCTCTGACACTTGATTTTGGCCTCCAGAACTGTGAGACAATATACCTCTGTGTTATGTCAATCGGTTTGTGATCATTTGTTACAGCAGCCTTAGGCAAAAAATAGCACCCATTATTGACTGCTTTCTGCATATCACTACCCCCCAAATAAACCACTTGCCCTCACCCCTGCCTCAGGGTCTGTTTCGGAATATCTCAAACTAAGACCAGTACTATTCTTATCTCCAATTTTTTTTTATTTTTTCTTGAGACAAGGTCTTGTTCTGTTGCCCAGGCTGGAACGCAGTGGTGAGATCATAGCTCCCTGCAGCTTCACTCTCCTGAGTAGCTGGGACTACAGACATGTGCCACCACTACCTGGCTACCTGGCTAATTTTTTTTTTTTTGTAGAGATGAAGCCTCACTATGTTGCGGCCAGGAGTTTAACTCCTGGCCTCAAGCTATCTTCTTCCCTCAGCCTCCCAAAGGGCTGGGATTCCAGAACCATTGTCCCTGGCCACAAAACCTGTCTTACTATCTTTTGAGAATTTATCACAAGCTGAAACGATCTCACTTGCTGGTGGACTGCCTGCCACGTTCACTGGGATGGCCCTCTAGGAAGGCAGGGACTACATGGGTCTGATTCAGTGACACGCTTCCCGCAGTCAGCACAATGTCCAGTACATAGAGGAGGCTTTGCAAACAGTTGCCAAGCCAATCAGCAAATGAACAAATGAAGGAACAAATGAATGAGTAAGAAATGACTTTGTCTCTTTTGGCTGTCTATACGCTGGGTGCTGGGAGGAGAGGACGGATCCAGGTACAGAGTATTTTAGATCAGAACCAGCTACATAATTTGTATGGACCAGTGTAAAATAAAAACGGAGGGTTAGGCCGGGCACGGTGGCTCATGCCTGTAATCCCAACACTTTGGGAGGCCAAGGTGGGAGGATCACTTGAGGCCAGGAGTTGGAGATCCACCTGTGCAACATAGCGAGACCTCATCTCTACAAAAAAATTTTAAAAGGAGCCAAGTGTGGCAGTGTGGCTGCAGTCCCAACTACTTGGGTGGCTGAGGCAGGAGGATCACTTGAGCTCAGGAGGATCACTTGAGCTCAGGAGCTTGAGGCTGCAGGGAGCTATGATCGTGCCATTGCATTCCAGTTTGGGCAACAGGATGAGATCTTGTCTCTAAAAAAATAAAAATTAAAAAATGGGGGGGTTCCCTTGTTAAAAAAGATCAAGACTTCAAGATGGGCTGGGTGCGGTGGTTCAAGCCTATAATCCCAGCACTTTGGGAGGCTGAGGCAGGTGGACCGTTTGAGCCCAGGAGTTCTAGACCAGTCTGGGCAACACAGCAAGATCTCATCTCTACAAAACATAAAAATTAGCCAGGCATGGTGGCGTGTACCTATAGTCCCAGCTACTTGGGAGGCTGAGGGTAGGAGGCTCACCTAAGCCCAGAAGGTTGAGGCTGTGGTGAGCCATGATCATGCCACCGTCCTCCAACCTGGGTAAGAGACTAGGACCCCCCCCCAACTCAAAAAACAGCCTGGGCAACCTGGTGAGCCCTCATCTCTACAAGTCGGGCTCGGTGGCTCAGCCTGTAATCCCGCGCTTTGGGAGGCTGAGGTGAGTG